GGTTTGATTCCCGGTCAAGAGCACGTACCTGGGTTGTAGATTTGTTCCCAGCCTGGTTGGGGTGTGTTCGAGAGGCAACCAATCCATGTGCCTCTCTAACATCCATGTTTCTCTCTCTCACACCCCCTCCCTTCCTCCTTCCCTTCCACTCTCTCTAAAAAAGAAAAAAAAATCAATGGAAAAAATACCCTCAGGTGAGGGTTAACAAAAACAAAAAAAATAAAGGATTTATATATACTCAGGATCAATGATTTCCAAGAAAGATTAAGTGAAATAGAAAGGCATTCAAAAATTTGTGTAGCAAGATCCCATTTATTTTTTTAGGAATGGTATGTGTGTGTGTGTGTGTATGTATTTGTATATATATATATGTATATACACACACATATATGTGTGTGTATATACATACATATATACATACACACACACATATATACATATGGACATATATATGCGCAAATATATGCATATGGACATATATATAAATACTAGAAGCCCAGTGCGTGAAATTAGTGCAGGGGGGGGTGGAGGGGGCGCGGCGGGGAGTGTCCCTCAGCGCAGCCTGAGCCCTCTTGCAATCCGGGAGCTCTCAGGGGATATCCGACTGCCAGCTGAAGCCCACTCCCCCTGTGGGAGCGCACTGACCACCAGGGGGTAGCTCCTGCATTGAGCGTCCGCCCCCTGGTGGTCAGTGCACATCATAGCAACCAGTCATTCAGCCATTCAGTCAATTTGCATATTAGCCTTTTATTATATAGGATATACATGTAAAGATCTATAGACTCAACTTTTAATTTTTAATAATGGTTACCAATAGAAGAAATGGGATTTCACCTTTTACTCTATGTATTTGTGTTGTTTTAATTTTTTTCACAAGAAAACACAAATTTATGTATATGTCAGTAATTTAAAGAACATTTAAGTATGAATGGAGAAATGTTATTTGCAAGTAAACAGAAGAGACAAAATGAAAGAAGTGAACATGTTCTTTAATAAACACATCATTTCTGTTAAGAGAAAAAAAATGTTAAAAATATGAATAAAATACAGTTGTATTTGACTTATGAGGCCTTCCACCTCGCTCTCCTCTACATTCAAAAGATTCCTCTACAGTGGACAGTTTTTACATTTCAAGGGTTTAGGGTAGGGAGGGATGACAAGGAAATAATATGATTACTTACATGTAATCTACCTCTAAGCTCTCTGTCATTTCTCATTTTCACATAAATTCGCTCATCCAGGCTGAGTCTGATAAGATCCAGGGGCTCTTCTACAGTGTTGGTAGTTTGTTGCTGATAAAAGAAGCAGGCATAGTAATAACAATTACTAGAGAGAATGCAGCACTCAAATCAATGCCATGTTGTGTGATGTGGGCAAATAACATAACTCCTCTATGTCTCAGTCTCATAATTTGTAAAATGTGGATAACAATATTGCCTACCTAATACCAAGGATTACATGACATATATGAAGGCTTAAAACAGTACCTGGCACAAAGCGCTATACAAATGAGGTCTGAAACATACATACACAGGAAGAAGTTAGCAATATAATCAGGACTGTACTCTGTTCCTTCACAGTACAAATTGTTTGACCCAATTTCAGGGTATAAGGAGTCACTCTCAGGGACATTAGCCTTATCTCAAATATCATTTAGTACAGTAATTTGAAAAATATTCCCTTAATGACTACTACACACTAGTCAGAATGCTAAGCAGAGATGACGGTTTGAGAGAAGACTAAGTTCATATAGGGCAGGCTGACTTTTGGGTGCCAAACGGCCAATAAGAGCAATACACTCAGCAGATAGTATAGAATACTGGCTGAAAGCACTGGCTTTGGAATCAGGCAGTGTGGGTTCAACTCCTGACTCTGATACTTACGAATTGAGATTAAAAATTATGCCATTTCAGCCCTGGCCAGGTGCTCAGTTGGTTAGAGTGTTATCCCAATACACCAAGGTTGCAGGTTCAACCTTGGGTCAGGGCACTACAAGAATCAACCAATGAAGGTAAAAGTGAAATGTCTGTTTCTGTCTGTCTCTGTCTCTCTCAAGTCAATAAATAAAAATGGGGGGGGGGGGGATTACAGCATCTCTAATTCTATTTCCTTTTCCTTGTCTATAAAATAAGGAAGCCACAATCTTCCCATCATGACTCTTATGAAATTAACTAATGCATAGCCCTAGCTGGTATAGTACAATTGCTTGAGCATCATGCCATGCACTGAAAGGTCGCCAGTTTGATTCCATCAGGGTACATGCCCAGGTTGCAGGTTTGATTCCTAGTGTGTGCAGCTGATCGATGTTTCTCACATTGATATTTCTCTTTCTCTCCCCCTCTCCCTTCTTTGATCTCTAAAATCAATAAAAACACATTTTAAAAAATTGAGCTAATGGCCCAGCCAGCATGGCTCACTAGTTGAGCATCGACCTATGAACCAGAAGGTCACAGTTCGATTCCAGGTCAGGGCATGTGCCTGGGTTGCAGGCTTGATTACCCAGTAGGGGATGTGCAGGAGGCAGTCAACCAATGATTTTCTCTCATTGATGTTTCTATCTCTCTCTCCTCTCCTTTCCTCTCTGAAATCAATAAATATATATATATACATTTTTAAAATTTAGCTTATGTATTTAACATTGTATCTGGCAAACAGAAAGTACTTATACATGGTTGTCATTGTTTCTATTGAAGAACCACTGGAAAAGGTCTCAGAGATCAGGGCCATGATGACTTGGGATCATCCATGTGAAAGGGATGGCTGAAGAAGAGTTCATAAAATTATTCAAGGAGAGCTTCTTCAGTGAGTACACGAGGCCACTGGAAGGTGACTGAACTTTACAGGCTCTACAGTCTGAAAAGGCTAGGTTAGGGGAGAAAAAGGTGTTTGTTTAGAAACAGCTAACCAACTAGATTATAATGATACAGAAGTCAGTCCCTGCCCTGTAAAAGCTCATTCTAGTCAAGAGAGGCATATAAATAATTAAACACTACTATAGGCCTGGTGCACGAATTCATACATGGTGGGATCCCTCTGTCTGGCCAGCGATCGGGGCGATCGGGGCCATCTCATCCAGCCCCGTCTCACTCAGTCCCCATCAGCCAGACGCCAGCAGCAAGCTAACCTACCAGTCAGAGCATCCACCACCCTGGTGGTCAGTGTGCGTAATAGCAACTGGCCGAGCAGTTGACAGAACAGTCAATGGATTGGTTGCAGACACTTAGCATATTAGGCTTTTTTTTTTTTTTTTAAATATATTTTATTGAGTTTTCACAGAGAGGAAAGGAGAGAGATAGAGAGTCAGAAACATCGATGAGAGAGAAACATCGACCAGCTGCCTCCTGCACACACCCCACTGGGGATGTGCCCGCAACCCAGGCACATGCCCTTGACCGGAATCGAACCCGGGACCCCTCAGTCCGCAGGCCGACGCTCTATCCACTGAGCCAAACCGGCCTCGGCCATATTAGGCTTTTATAGAGAGAGATAAGAATACACACATGACACAAGCCTACTTTAGCTTCAGTCTGGGATGCCTGCAGTCTACCCTTTCATTCTGTAGCTTTAAATATTGCCTTTTCAATGAGGCCTCCCAATTCAATCAATGTGTTGAGTGTTTCCAGCGCTGTTCTAAACAGGGAAGACAGAATAGTGAACAAAACAAAATTCCTGCTCTTAAGAAATCCATTCCTGGCCCTGGCCAGTTTGGCTCAGTGGATGGAGCGACGGCCTGTGGACTGAAGGGTCCCAGGTTCGATTCCGGTCAAAGGCACGTACCTTGATTGCAGGCACATCCCCAGTAAGCGGTGTGCAGGAGGCAGCTGATCAATGTTTCTTTCTTATCGATGTTTCTAACTCTCTATCCCTCTCCCTTCCTCTCTGTAAAAAAATCAAGAAAAAAAAATTTTTTTTTCAAGAAAGAAATCCATTTCTGGGTGGACGTGGGGGGGGGCAGGAGATAGACATTAAACAAAGCTTATACTAATATGAACAAATAACATGCTATGAAGAAGGAAATAAAGACTGGGAGAGTGCTTTTATGTAGGTGGCCAGAAAGTCCTCTGATGAGAGGTGAGATGTCGGTAGACATTGTGGCCTGATCCACATTGATACCCGAGGAAGAGTATTTTGGGGAAAAGGAAGATCAGGGGACAAAGCCTGCAGGGCTATCAGTTCTGCATACCGCTCCTGGCTTGTTTCTTTCTCACCACATCACAGCTGCTATACATCCCACACGTCTATGTTTACTTTTTATCTGTCCTCGCCCGCAATACAAGCTCCAAGTGGGAACAGAGATCACGTATGTCAATGCTGGTGTCCCTGGTGCGCTGAACGGTGTCTAACCATACAAAGCTGATGTTCCCTAAGCATTTGTTGGATGAGTAATAATTGTTGCGCTCAGTAACGATAAGATTCCTTAACTTTACTGTCACGCTATCAGAATCCCGACAGCTCCGCGAGGCAGGCAAGGATCATTCTGTAGATAAAAGTGAGACTCAGAGAAAGGAAATGGCGAGCGAGCGCAGTAACAAGTTTTCCGGCGGACTTCTAAAAGAAAAGCCTTCAGGGCCTGAGCCCGTGAGACCCGGAGAGAGTCGGCATGATCGGTGACCTTGACGAAAGCCGCCCTGGTACGCAAAGCCAAGCAGGGAAGCCGCTGGGGAGCGAGCTCCTCAGCAGACACTCACCTGGTCCACGTCGTCCGCCATGTTTCAAACCCTGCGCCCTTTCCCGCCTCTCGCGAGATCTCTCCAGCCCGTCCAGGCTCCGGAAACGCGAGGACGCAAGGCACCGGAAGTGAAAAGAAATCTGTTTTGCCCTTTCTTGCTTTCCGCGGTGTTCACTGGTCGTTGGGGCGGAGTTGCTTCCTGAAGCGTGCGCTGGGCCTATAAAAGGCAGGGGCGTGGCCATGCTTCTTCCCGCTTGGGGGCGTGGCCGGAGCTCGTGCTGCGGTTCGCGGCGTGGTGCGTCACTCGCGAGGCGAGTCTGTCCCGAGCAAGATGCCTCAGAAGCGGGCAGCTGGTCGGGGTCCTCGGGGACGCGAGCCACGCGGCCAGAAAGCCAAGGGCGAGGAGAAGGAGGCAGGTGAGAGCGAGGCCAAGCTGGACTTAGGGGGAGATGCTGAAGAAGATCCGGAAGCAGGCCCCGGTGCGGGAGGGGGGAGGCCGGCCCCTTGGAGGTGGGGGGCGGAGGCTGCTCCGCGCCCATCTGCGCCGCGGAGCGAGGTTCCCGGGGCAAGTGGTTGCGCAGCTGCCTGGGTCCTCCCGGACGTCGCTCTGCCTTTGTCTTCACGCGAGGAGTGATGCACCCCGAGCGGTTCCCCTGAAACTCAGCCTCACCACGAGCTCCCCCGCGCAGCCTCTTTTTTGCTCCCTGTTTGTCTACACTCACAGGACAAAGTTCATCCTCCTGGTAGATGCAAAGGGCTAGATAGGGAAAAGGCACTGCAGTTACTGTGTGTCCCCCGAGGACGGTGGCCCAGGACATGGAGCGCTGTAGCGTGCTGATTCCCAGAATAATATCGTCAGCCGAATCTCACCCCAGAGTACAAGATTCGGATCCAGCCTGATTTGCACGATGATATCAAGTGTTTGTCGTGGGTAAAGCAAAAACGCTTGGTTTCCTTTCAGCTTCGCTCTTCTCCACTTTCCCACCGCAGTAAATGATACCTTCACCCACTAGTTACAGCAAGCATCCACGCCGTCAGCAAGTCCTGTCAGTTGAGTCTCAGAGCTATAATCTTAGCCCTCCCCACTTCTCTTTATTCTCATGCCACAGACCCTGCCCAAGCCATCACTTTTCAGTTGAACGACTGCAGTTGCCGCTTTACTGGTCTCCCTACTTCCCTTCCCCTCCCCCTGCAATAGTTCACCCAGGAGCCCAAGTGATCTTAAAAAAAACCATCAGATCATAACACGATCGACTTCAAACTCCCTGTGTCTTTCCATTGCTCTTGGCGTAAAACTCAAAATTCCTCATCATGGCTTGCAAGACCTTACATGATTGGGCTGCCGCTACCTACCTGTTGCCTCCTACCCCTCTTTTCTTTGACAGATACTCCCCTTACTGACCTCCTCTGTTTTTCAAACATGCCGTGTTATTTCTTAACCCCGAACCTTTGTCTTTGATGTTCCTTCCGCCTAGAATGTTGTTCCATGGCTCTTGCCATGGCTGATTCTTCTACTCCTTCAGGTCTCAACTCAGATACCAGGTACTGCCTGTCACAGAGTCCCTCACAGCCTCTGCCACAAACTGTGATGATCTTGTTCATTTATTTGCTTCCTTTTTGATTGCCCATCTTACTCAAATTTAAGCTTCATGAAAGCATTTTATTTTTTTTTTGCTGTATCCTCTTTTGCCTCTCCCTGCATATACTGAGTGCTCAATAAATATATACTTTTAATTTTTTTAATTGAGTTTAGAGAGAAGAAGGTGTGGAGAGAGAGAAACATCAATTTGAAAAACATTGATTAGTTTTCCCACTTATTTATGCATTCATTGGTTTATTCTTGTATATGCCCAGACTGGGGAATCAAACCTGCAACCGTGGCTTACCAGGATGATGCTCCAACCAACTCAACTACCCAGCCAGGGCATTCAATAAATATTTTTAATAATCGCAAACTGCATGCTGTAGAGCAGGGGTAGGGAACCTTTTTTCTGCCAACGGCTATTTGGATGTTTATAATATCATTTGAGGGCCATGCAGAATTAACAACTTAAAAATTAGCCTGCTATATTTGGTCAGACATTTAATTAACTCACCCCTAACGCCTTGGCAGGGCCAGACCAAATGATTTCGCAGGCTGGATATTCCCCACCCCTGTTGTAGAGGGACTCCTGAGAAAACTGGGTAATAGATTAGACAAGGTAACCAGCAGAGGCTCCTATGACACAAGATTCAACAATTCTGTGATTATATATATATATATATATTGATTTTTTACAGAGAGGAAGGGAGAGGGATAGAGAGCCAGAAACATCGATTAGAAACATCGATCAGCTGCTTCCCGCATGCCCCCCCACTGGGGATGTGCCCACAACCAAGGTACATGTCCCTGACTGGAATCAAACCCGGGACCCTTGAGTCCGCAGGCTGACACTCTATCCACTGAGCCAAACTGGTTCTGGCCTGTGATTCTTTGTATATTGTCAAGTTCTTCATCTGTTGAGAAGTAGTCAAATGCTAACAGTTTTTAAACTTAAAAGGTGATTTGCTATGAGTTCCATTTCATTCATTTACTACTTATTCAAATAACATTTGAATATTTTCTGAGTACCAACTGTGTGGTGTACACAAGCTAAGTGACATGGGGAATATTTCTTGGAGGAGCTTAAAGTATAATAGTGTTGTCATTTACAAAAAATATCCAAGGCAAAGTGTGATACCATGGGAGTAGATGTAGGGCTTTGTGGCTTCCAAAGGAATAATCGAGTTTGACTGAAGATATTGGGAAATGCTCTCTGAAGGAGTTGTTTGATCTGTGCTTTTAAGGATGGGTAATATTTTAGCAAGAGGCTTGAGAGGGGAATGTATTCTGAATATGTGGCAAGCGTTTCTTCCAGCTAACACTTCCCCTGGCACCAGCTTGGTATAGCTCCAACACTCAGTTGTTATATGCACTTGGGTAAATTATTTTGAACAATTAATACTGGTCTGTGAAACATAATACTGCCTTGCAGGGTGCTTGTGATTTTTCAGTGAGATAGCATATAAAGTTCCTGGCATGGTCCATGTTAGGTAGTCAGTTGGGCTAGCTCATATCAGTTCAGTCTAAATGTAGGTAAGGATGCACTTGAGCTTAACTCAGACTCTGTTACCCAGAGGAGCTAGCAATAAGTTTCCAAAGCAGCTTTCAGGATCTGCTAGAATCTTTTTCAGGAAGAGCTAGAATCTTTTCTGTGGTTGGGTAGAGGAACAACTGTGCTTTGGGCTGCAGGTGACGCTAATGTGGTGACTGTTGTTTCTAATAGTACAATAGTGCAGGTTTTAACAGCACCTCAGTGCATACAATGAAATTACAGTAATGAACAGGACAGGCAAAGTTCTTGCTCTCCTGGTGCTTACAATCTTTGGGTAGGGGTAGAAAGGACAGACAATAAAAAGTTAAAAATAAGCCCTTGCCAGTGTGGCTCAGTTGTTTGAGCATCTTCCTGTGCACCATAGGTTGCTGGTTCAGTTTCCTGTTAGGGCACATGCCTGGATTGGGGCTCAATCCCTCAGTCCCAGGTAGGGGGTGTGCAGGAGGCAGCTGATTGATGCTCTCACTTTGATGTTTCTCTCTCAAAAAAAATAAATTTAAAAATATATACTAAAAAAATAAATTCACATGGTGATAAGAGCTATGAAGAAAGTAAAACAGCTTACTGTCATAAAACTGGCATGAGGCTGGGGAAGAAGCAGCTAAGTCAGAATCACTGGTCAGGGAAGGTTTCTGTGAGCAGGGGACATTTTGAGCCAGTTATTGGATGTCCTGAAGGAGCCATTCATAGGAAGTTCTGAGAGGAAAGAGATCCAGGCAGAGGGAACATTTAAAGACTCTTAGGGGGAATGAGCTTGGCCAGTTAGCTGGAGCAGTGAGTGGGGAATTGAGCCGAGAGAGGTGGGCAGAGCCCTTAGTCTAGAGACCAAGCTAGGGAATTTGTATTTTATTCTAAGTGCTCTGAGATGCCGCTGGTGGATTAAGCAAGTGTTCTTATTAAATCTCAATAGATGGCCAAGCAAACCACAGTGGTAATTCCTGCCCTGCTGAAGTAACCCCTGTGTGCCAACTGTGTGGTGTACACGAGCGATCAAGATTTCTTTCTCTAGACAACTATTTTTGAATTCATATGATATTGAGCTCAAGGAGGCTGGTTATCCATATTAGATAGCCCTCGATGGTGGAAAGTCCTGGAAAATAGCTTCTAGATCAGCCGTGGGCAAACTACGGCCCGCGGGCCAGATCCTGTCGTTTGAAATGAATAAAACTACTGAAAAAAAAGACCATACCCTTTTATGTAATGATGTTTACTTTGAATTTATATTAGTTCACACAAACACTCCATCCATGCTTTTGTTCCGGCCCTCCGTTCCAGTTTAAGAACCCATTGTGGCTCTTGAGTCAAAAAGTTTGCCCACCCCTGCTCTAGATAGTCGGTTCTCAACCTGTGGGTCGCGACCCCTTTGGTGGTCGAACGACCCTTTCACAGGGGTCACCTAGACCTGTGGTCAGCAGACTGCGGCTCGCGAGCCACATGTGGCTCTTTGGTCCCTTAAGTGTGGCTCTTCCTAAGCCTTAGGACAGTGATGGTGAACCTGTCAGAGGTGACACGCGAACTCATTTTTTTGGTTGATTTTTCTTTGTTAAAAGGTATTTAAATATATAAAATAAATATCAAAAATATGGTTGACTAATGAGTTTGCCGACCACTGGCCTAGACCATCCTGCATATCAGATACTTACATTACGATTCATAACAGTAGCAACATTACAGTTATGAAGTAGCAACGAAAATAATTTTATGGTTGGGTCACAACATGAGGAACTGTATTTAAAGGGCCAGAAGGTTGAGAACCACTGCTAGATTCTCTAGGACCAAAAAAACACAGCAAAGAATAAAGAAAAAATCATCTATATTTCTACCATGCAGAAATAACCACCACTTTATAAATAATGGTATATTTCCTTTTAGTCTGTGCTGTTTTGTATAGTAGAAGCTATACTATAAAAACAACTTTGCATGCCTAACATTTTATCCTAAATCATTTTCCTTTGTCTTAAAAGATTACTGAATTATATTTTATTGTGTTACTATACTGGAATTAATGATCATCTCATGGTTGGACATTTGGATTTTTAAAATTTTTTCATGCTATGAATAATAATACCATGAACATTTTTAAAATTCAGTTTTTTGTTTCCTTTTCATCTTTTTTAACTCTTTTACTCTCTTCAAAGCACAAAAGTATACAGTTGTGCCTTTTAACCAACCAAATAAATTTGGTGAGAAAGAAATGGTACCTCTGAAGTATCCTCCCACCTGCATTTTTAGATCAGTAAAAATGAACTATTTTGCATCTTTGCTTATTGATAGAGGGCTAAAGACCATTGTAAGATACGGAAATCGTAATTTTAAGGGCACCCTACTCAAATTGTCAAGTTATAAATCTTTAATCAGCCTCTGGCCTTGGAATAAGAAATCTGTTTCTAGATTATAAATAATTAATTTTGAAATATTTTGTTTCCATTGAAATGTTTAAACCAAGAGAATACATAAATTCCTTCTATAAAACATTTGAAAGAAACCAAACTGAACCATTTTATCAAGCATTAAAACAAATTACCCTAGCCCTAGACAGTTTGGCTCAGTGGATAGAGCATCAGCCTGTGAACTGAAAGGTCCCAGGTTCGATTCCGGTCAAGGGCATGTACCTGGGTTGTGGGCTCGATCCCCAGTAGGGGACTTGCAGGAGGCAGCCGGTCCATGATTGTCTCTCATCATGGATGTTTCTATCTCTCTCTCCCTCTTCCTTCCTCTCTGAAATCAATAAAATATATATATATATATTTTAAAAGCCCCTATAATGTGAAATTTATTAAAATTAAGTTATGACTTTATTTAGATCAAAAGGGAGTCTTCTTCCCATGCCAAAGTATTCTTGAGGGATATAAATACCCCAAGAGAGTCACCAGGACAAACCATAAATGAAAGGAATGAATTCATTTGGTATTTTAGGTTAATATTGCAGCTCCTTTGGAACCTCAATACAGGCTAGAGTATTTTTGTTTTCCAAAATTAGTTCAAGCAGAGTCATGCAAAGGCTGAAAAATGATTTATTTTATATTCAAGATTATTTTCATGAAAAGATTTGCAAAATAAAACCCTCTTCTGCCAAGTTATTCATAAATTATTTATTTTTTAAAAAATATATATATTATTGATTCTTTACAGAGAGGAAGGGAGAGGGATAGAGAGTTAGAAACATCGATGAGAGAGAAACATCGATCAGCTGCCTCCTGCACACTCCCCACTGGGTATGTGCCCGCAACCAAGGCACATGCCCTTGACCGGAATCGAACCTGGGACCCCTGAATCTGCAGGCCAACGCTCTATCCACTGAGCCAAACCAGTTAGGGCATTAATATATTTATATATTTTCTATGTTAATAAGCATAGTTTTAGATACCCTAATTTAACTAAAACCAACAGCTTATGCATTTTTATATTTCCCTTTACCAAAAATATAATTATCTTAAGAAAGTAAAGATATCTCTCTCTCCTAACCCTAAGCTTGCTGAGATGGTTAGTATACCAAGTGCCATTTGGGTTAGATTGAAAAGATTTCATAAAGTATGTTTTGAGCAGAGTTTGATTTTGAAAGATGGTGAAAATACATATTAATAGAAATAAGGTGTGGCAAAACCATTATGTCTGTGAACTATAAATATTTCACATAGTAGAAGTGGATTATCCCTAAAATAAGTCATCTTGGCAGGTAGTAAATAAGCAAGGGGTTAATCAATGGATCAATGGATTTTTCTTACTGGATATAAGCAGAAACTTAAGATTTGAAAGTTAGATATGATGGCCTCTCTGTAGTCTTCGGAAGAGTAGACTAAAATGCTAATAAAGGAAAATGGTTTTTACTGTGAGCAGAGTGTAGACTGGACTGAAGGTGGGAAGAGGCTGAAAGCTGGTTATTGATGAAATGTGACATGATGAGCTGGGGATGGAGATACGGTTTGGAAGGAGGTTACAGAAGAGGAGTTTTCATGACCCTGAAACCACTCTGCATCCACCTTTCTATTTTCCCTTTCCTGTTGCATGTGGGCATCTAGATGTCTTTGAAGATGAGAAACCCCCAAAGAAGAGTCTGCTCTCAAAAGTCTCACAGGGAACGAGGAAGAGGGGTGGCCGTGATCCTGGGGGCTCACCAGATGGTCCAGTAAAGAAGGTGGCCAAGGTGACTGTGAAATCTGAAAGCCTCGAGGTTAAAAAGGATGAAGTCGTCAGTGATGGGGAAGATTTCAGGTGAGAGGTCCTGATTGCTCCGGTCAGAGAAACGTGATTAATAAAACCTGCTCTTTTTGCTTGTCACTAGGATCCATGGAAAAGACTGGATCTTTAAACTCTTCTAGATAGAGCTCAGACAACTAGTAGAAGCTAGAAAGAATTTAGCGATTATATACTTATCTCCCAAACTTTTCAGGTAAGAACAATGATAGCTTGCAGAAAGTTATTTCTTCATGGTCACACAGCTAGCTAATGGCGGAAACCAGGATAAGACTTAGGACTTTTGACTCCTGATCCTGTGTTCTTTCTATTATACAAAGATATTACATATAAAAAGTATTTACCTGCCATTCCAGCTTTCTCTCGTACTACTCTCCTCAAGCACACTCGACTCCTGCCCAGCTGGACTGCACACGGCACATGCTCATACTTGGCTATCTCTGAGTTGTGCTCATATTCTCCTTCCACCTAAAATGCTTTCTTCCACCTTGAAGATGCAGATCAGACGCCATCTACAGACTTACGGTCTTTTCAACTTAGGGTGGGTTTATTGGGAAGTAACCCCATCATAAGTTGAGGAAAATCTGTATTACACATTAGCAACCATTTAGTCTTGAATTGATATGTAGCTAGCTACTTAACTGTGTAGCTATTTAACTAGCTAGGTATCCAGGTTTATGTTAGTATTTATGACATACCTGTGTATAGTCACATTCCCACTTATCTTGAAGCTAGACTTCAACTTTAATCTCCTTACATCATATTTCTTTCTTGTTGTTGTTAATCCTGACCCTAGGATATTTTTTTCCATTGTTATTTTCTATTGATTTTTAGAGAGAGTGAAAGGAAGGGAGGGGGAGAAAGAGAAACATCGATGTGAGAGAGACACATCAATTGGTTGCCTCCCTCACGCACCCGGAATAGGGCTGGGTTTGAACCTGCAACCCAGGTATGTGCCCTTGACCGGGAATCAAACCCCCGACCCTTCGGTGTGCAGGCTGACACTCTATAAACATTGAGCCATACTGGACAGGGCACATCATATTTCTTAAAGGCGGGGAGTGGCAGGAGTTGGGAGTCTTCTGAGTTGGGCCTCTTAGGATCAGCAAATGTGAATTCCCTTTTCTTTCTGGTGCCGAACTGTATGTACACAGATATCACAGCTTTTACTTCTAGCACTCACATTATTATTGTGGTTTCTCCTAGTTTTTTCTATGGCATTTCCTGATATCGCTATATTTTCCTTCACACAGCTCTAGGCTGTAGGTTTATAGTATTCTCTCTGACAGCACAATTTAGTATTAGACTAATGATCAGGGTACATCTTGATGAGAACTTGAGACTCATGCTGATGGAGAAAATGGGGCTCAGAGCTCACAAATGAACTTTAAATAATTGCAACCAATCTTCAATAAATAGAAGGTGTCCTTAAAATTCCGTTTAGTTTAAATGTAATACCGGGATGTTTGTGCCTTCTTCATCTTCCTTCCTGTGGCCTTTACACAGAGACTTTAAAAGTGCCTGCAAGAAGGCACACCATCCAAAGAGAGAGTCTGCTGTGGACAAAGACAGCCACGAAGGAGACGACGATGAGGAGGAAAGTGAAGATGATTGGGAAGAGGTAGAGGGTAAAGCATCTTTCTTTGTTTTCAGAACTGTCTGATCCTGTTTTTCTGTTTGATTCTGTTTAGAATCATGTCACTTATTTGCAATCCTTTTTTTTTCTTGTGAAACTAATAAGACTGAAGATAAGGTTGCAATAGCAACTTGCTTTTGATATGAAAAATTCAACACCAGATTACCTAGAGCAGGTTATATACAGGGTGTCCCAAAAAATGTATACACACTTTGAATAATTATGAAGGCAGTGTTTATTAAAATATATTTCATTTTCAAAATGCTATCAGCTGTTAGAGTGTATATACATTTTGGAGGGACACCCTGTATTCTCTTCCTTTGCTGTCAGTGGAGTTTCACCCTCCATGCCTCCTTCCATTCTCAAGATCAATGGGAAAAATATCCTCTGATGGATTTTTTAAAAAAAATTAAAAAACAAATACCCTTTATAACTGTTCCCCCCCCCTTTTTTTTTTTCTAATCCAGGATCTATTCAAGGTATAAGCTTTGTATTGGTTGTCTCTTTTATTCTAGAACAATACCCCCCACCCACCTTTTTTTATTGTTTTGTTTTCCATAGCACAGCTTTTTTTTAGTGTCCTGGCCTCTTGTTTTTTAGAATGTTTCAGGTTCTGTCTGATAAATAATCAAACATTTCATGATGTTGTTACAGTTGTTTCAGTACGCTGTGTATTTCTTTCCATTTTTGTGTGTGTGTTTTCTTTTGTTGTTGTTTTTTTGTTAATCCTCATCATTGATTTTTTTAGAGAGAGTGGAAGGGAGAGAGAGAGACAGAGAGAGAGAAACATCAAAGTGAAAGACACATCGATTGGTTGCAACTGGACCAGGGCCAGGCATGCAGCCTACAACCGAGGTCCGTGCCCTTGACAGACTTGAACCCAGGACCCTTCAGTCCACGGGCCTACACTCTATCCATTGAGCCAAACCAGCTAGGGCTTCCAGGTATTTCTTATAAGTTGTAAATTAAGTTCAAAGACTTGATTGAATTTAGATTAAACTATTTTTTCCCCCAAGAATACTTTCTAGGTGATGCTTTTTAGTGCATTAAGAGACACCTACTGTCAGGTTGTCCTTCTAGTGATGCCAAGGTTGATCATGTAAGTTGGTACTGCCAGATTGTGCCAATGTAAAGGTGCATTTTCCCTTTGCAATTAACTTTCTGGGGTTATATTCTGATTCTTCCTGAATATCTTGTTCCCTAATAATTTTTTACTTAATGGTTTTAGCATGTATTAATGATCTTGACTGGATCAAAAATTACTATATTGAGGATTACACAATGGTAATAATCTGATGCTATCACTTTATGCACATTTATTAGCTGACTGATCTGTAAAGGAATTGTATTTATTTAGCAAGTGCCTAATCTTACCTCCCTTTCAGGAATTGTAATTACTTAGTAATTTACTCTGAGTATCACTATGAACTTAGAGATTTTTTTTTAATACATATATTACCAGTTATCATCATTATATTTGAGCTTCAGATTGTCCCAAATTTGCCTGGTGGAAGACCCTTTAAGCTAGCTACCCTCCCCATGTCTTTTTTGGCATGACCCCATTAGTTTTTTAGAACATTTATGCTTTCTGGTACAAATTGTTCCAGGCTCACTTTATACTTTCCAGACCTGCAATCAACATTTTTTTCCTCCAAGAAGCCCTGGTTCATTTTAGTGAGAAACCAAAATCTTGACATTAGATGTTTCATTGCTGAACAGGTGTTATTGCTTCTAGGCCTAAAGCTCCTTTATAAGAGCCCTTTGCCAACAAAGTTCAGTTAGATCCAGTTCAGCAAATTCAGTTTTATTTCAGCTAGTGTTTACTAGCCATGTAGGGGATAAAGAGATGAAAAAGATGTGTTTCTTGTCATTATAAGTTTACAACTAAGACTGAAAACCTGAAATCATCACTACATACAAAGCAAATTGTACTGCATACTATGTAGTAATAAAAAGAAAATTGTTCTAATTTGGCTTTAAAAAAAAAGTATCTACTAAAACACACATGAGCATCAGCTCCTTGATAGCAAGGGTCTGTATCTAATTCAAGTCAATGTCTTTTGGCCTTAGTTTCCTTTTCTTCTGTGTGGGTTGAATGAGATAAATAAATGTAAAGCAGCGCAGTGCTGGTGTTTTATTGTTTTGTTTGTTGTTGTTGGTTTTTCTAGGTAGTCAAAGCATGGAAGGAGTAGTTATCTCTGTGAGTTCTCCACCTCACATCCGTTCCTCGCTTCCTCCTTCCCAGCAGAACCTTGATTTTGTTCAGTAGAGTGGCTGTTAATGTAATTGCTGTTAATTGGTTTTTTAAATTTACTGTTGATAGAACTCAGTGAGCTCGTGCCAGATGATGGGGCAGAAAATGCAACCTTCTCTCAATCTGTTCTGCCTGTGAAGCCAGTGGAGATAGAGATTGAAACACCGGAGCAGGCGAAAGCAAGAAAAAGAAGGTAAGGTTAGGCACTTGCTTCTGCATTCCTATCACATGCCATTGGCAACTAATGAAAACTTCTGAGAAATACATAGGAGACCAGGGCTGAGTATCAAAGTGGTCAGGAGCCTTGGGTGAGAGAACCCTGGGCTCAATCTTAAGGCTTGAGTGAGGAACCTTTTTATCCTGGCTGGGGCAGGGAACAGGGAGAGGATACGCCTATATATTGACCAGCTTCTGTATGCCAAGGTGTTGTCTGTTATATTACTTAATCTCTAGAACAGTATATGAATGAGGAGTCAGAGGCTCAGAGAGGTTAAATATCATTTCAGGAGTCACTCAGCCGGTAAGTGGATGAGCCAAGATCTAAATCCTTGGCAGGCTGACCTGCAAGTTATGCTTTTCCCACCACTGACTCTGCAGGTCTTAAAGCAGTGCCCCACCATGGTGGGGAGCCCCCATTTTATCCCAATATACCCAGTACCCCTGTAGCTTCTGGTGGCTTGGAAATTGCGGACACAACATCTGGTAGTTTACTGGTTCATGAGTTCCACTGTAAGATGGGCACATTATTTGCCATGCCTGAGGAAGGTAATAAAGTCATTCAAGAAGCATTGTTTTTGTGAGTGTTTTTAATCCTCGCCTGAGGATATGTTTTCCATTGATTTTCAGACAAGAGTGGAAGGAAGGGAGGAGGGGGAGAGAGAGAAAGAGAAACACGGAGAGAGACACATTGATTGGCTGGCTCCCAAACCCCCCAACCAGGGGTGGGGAGCAGACTCCCAATCAAGATACATGTCCCTGCCAGGGAATCGAACCCACAATCCTATGGTCCCTGGGCTGACACTCCAACCACTGAGCCAAACCGGTCAGGGCTTAAGAAGCATCTTAAAAATGTATGGGACACAGACATGAAAGAGATTTTACATCAGAACAGTAAAATACAAATGAGTGTACATTAATTGATTATAAAGGCAGTGGTGGTTGCTAAGGCTGGAATCGGTAGTTGGAAGGTCAGGCAGTCAGAGAAGACTTCCTGGAGGAGGAGGAGAACTTTGACTCATGTTTATGAGGCATGATTTGGTGGAGGTTGAGAGGAGGTCAGTCTGGGTAGAGACTGTCCTAAGCTATGATTTGTAGGTGAGAAAGGTGAGAAGAAGCAGGAAATAGGTAGCTTTTCTTAAAATTACTTGTGTAGCACAGTCTTGTGCAGGAAAACAAGAAGAGTGAATCACATGCAATTAAAAAGTTAAAGAAATTGACTGGGGGAATGAAGTCAGGTTTCAGTTTCCCAGTTCATTCTTGGATTTTTCAATATGCATTACAGTGAAAAAATACAAATGGAGTTTGAGACCGCTCTGCGGAGACTGATGAAGCGTTTCAATAAAGAAGTCCATGAGGACACACACAAGGTAAGGGCAGGAAGTGAAGGGAGAGGACTGTGTACCCCTCTTTGCTGAGGCAGAGTGCGGTGGCGGAAAGACCTGGGGTTCGCAGTCAGGGAAACCTGGGTTTTGTTCCTGGCTCTCCTACTCACTCTGTGACCTTGGCGAGTTTCTTACTCTCTCTGAGGCTTAGTTTCCTCATCTTTGAAGTAGGGGTTAATAATCGTGTCTTCCTCGGAGAGTTGTTGTGAGGATTAAACATATATCACAGGTGAAGTACAGAGTACAATGCCTGGCATGGAGCAGGGACTAAAAATCAGACTCTCAGTCTCTTCTTTCCACAGTTTAGTAACATTAATTCTGATCTCAGCTAAAATTGCTGGCTTTTGAATTCAGCTGGTAGTTATTGAACACGTATTTTGGACCTAGCAAGGTTCTTGACATTGTGGGAGAGAGACTTGTATAAAGCTTATTTTCTACAATTAAAGGATTTCTGATGAAAGACCTCAAAACATAGAAACTCAAGACTTAAAAGAAGGAGATCAGTGTGGGTTTGAGTAGTTGAGGAAGGCTTTATTTAGGAGAAAGGGCTGGAGCTGGTTCTAAGAGAAAAGACAGTATGTTGAGATGGGAGTGGCAGTCTGGAAAGATTGCTCTCTCTGAGTTATGGAGGGGATGGTAGGACAACCAATTTGCCCACATCTTGGAATATACAGGAACTGGAGTGAGGCCCACCTCACAGCAACCTTGGGAAATAAATAAGATAGTTCTGTGTGTTTTTTTACCTCTTGGTGTTGGAGATTTGAAACTGACTTGAGGGAAGAAGGACAGTGCCATTAATTGAAATAGGGAGGCTGTAAGTGGGAAGGAAGGAACACTGATTTTGAAGTGAAAATGATGCAAAGCTGTGAGAGAAGGGAAAGACAGTCACATCACTTCAGTAGGTTGAGGAAGGGTGGGGTTGGAGGTCAGATATGGGACAGGTGTGGGGTCTAAAGTGGAGCAGGTTGGGTTCAAGCACCCACAGAAATGCAGACAACAGTACAGTGAGTCCACGCTATCCACCAGCTTTGACAGTTACAAGTCCGTCAGCAGTCTTGCAATTCTTTCCTTCCACCCATTTTTCCTCCTGAGCAAACTCCAAACATTGTAGCATCTCCTCCATAGTTCCTTCAGTATATATCTAAAAGACAAGGCCTCTGCCCTGGCTGGTTTGGTTCAGTGGATGGTTCGATTCCGGTCAAAGGCACATGCCTGGGTTGCGGGCTCAATCCCCAGTAGGGGGCGTGCAGGAGGCAGCCAATCGATGATTCTCTCTCATCATTGATGTTTCTATATCTGTCTCCCTCTCCCTTCCTCTCTGAAATCAATAAAAATATATTTTTAAAAATAAAATATTAAAAGACAAGTCCTCTTAGAAGAAGAAAAAAGTTTGTATTTTGGAGCTTTGAGATTTGAGATTCTTTGAGGGAAGGAGTAGTTAGAATTAGAGGGGTTGAAAAGCAAAATCTTGGGAAATGGGTAATGTTAGCATTTTTACTTTTTTGTATTTAGAAATGGCAACATGCGCTGGCTGGTTAGTTGAGCATCTTCCCATGCACCAAAAAGTCACCGGTTCAATTCCCAGTCAGAGCATATGCCCAGGTTGCAGGTTCAATCCCTAGTCAGAGCACATATGGGAGACAACCAATGGAAGTTTCCCCCTCTGTCTCTGAAATCAGTAAAAGCATATTTTTAAAACAGAAATACCAACAAATACATCCTGCCCACAAAATGTCTTTTAATTCAGCAGCAAAAATCCCTCTAATGTTCAGCTTTTCTTTCATGTCTTCCTTTTTCTTTTTCTCTTTGTCTCCAGGTTCACCTTCTGTGCCTGTTAGCAAACGGCTTCTATAGAAATGGCATCTGCAACCAGCTCGATCTTCAGGCTATTAGCCTCTCCATCATCCCAGTTCGCTTTACCAAAGTGCCTCCCCAAGACGTGGACATCTCCTACCTGTCAAACCTGGTGAAATGGTATGGCCCTCTGGCCTGTGCTGCACAGTCTTAGTGTAGGATCTGTGTGTCTCTCAGGTTGGGTACAGGTCACTTAACACAGATAGCCCCTGAGGTGATCCTGTAAGCCAGGCAGTGGGCACAGCATTGAAGACAGAGAATTGTCAGTCATGATCTCTGTCCTGGAAGAGCTCCCAGGTTAGTCTGGGTGATAAATATACCCCCAGGTAATCAGTGTGACCATTGCTCGGGAAGCAGTGTGCTGGGCACTGCGGGCACACAGAGCCAGGGCACTTACCTCAGCTGGGGGGTCTGGGAAGGCTCCAGAGGGAGGTAAAGTCTGAATTGAGTCTTTAATGATGAGTAGGAGTTACCCAAACAGGGTGGGGAAAATAGAACAAAAGCAGGCAGGGCTCACAATTTCCTTCGCAGACTGCCCCTTCTGATTTTCTTGTCTATTAAGAACAGAGTTCCTCTTTGCTCCTACTTCTCACACAAGGGAATGCCCGGCTTCTCTCCAGGTTCATTGGAACATTTACAGTTAACTCTGACCTTTCAATCAGCGAGCACGACAGCCTACAAACTACGTTGGAAAGGAGATTTGCGATTTACTCTGCCCGAGATGATGAAGAATTGGTCCATGTGAGTGATTCTTCCTGGCAGCACTGTTTTCATTACTGTTAGCAAATGATGATGGCAGTCATGTGCCAGATATAAAGTAAATACTAGGTACTGCAGCTCAGAGAGGCTAAGTAACTTTCTTGGGTCACTCATTGACCAGCATTGGAATCAGGGTTGGGACCAGTGTGTGAGTTAAGGCCCACACTCTATCACTTGGTGTCCTCGTGTGTGAATTTTTGGTCGGGTGCCCTAGAATTGTTTGCTTTAACTATTTAGAAATTGTGTTCAGAAGTTGCAAGGAAATGTTTCAGATTGGCTGCTGAAATTCTTTTTTTTTTTTATTGCTTAAAGTATTAGAAAGGGTATATGATGCAATTCTTGAACACAGTTGTGGTGGAATGACTGTTCAATGTGAATTTTGCCTATCCCTAAATTTCTCTGTTGAAAAACCATCCGATGGGCAATTTACTCGATGTTGTGTCTCTATATTCCACAAATGAGTGAGATCATGTGGTATTTATCTTTCTCTGACTGGCTTATTTCACTTAGCATAATGCTCTTCAGTTCCATCCATGCTGTTGCAAATGGTAAGAGTTCCTTCTTTTTTATAGCAGCATAGTATTCCACTGAAATTCTTAAGAAAGTGTTTCCATACCTTCCAGTTTGGGTGATGGCATTGCCAGGCAGCCATGCAGTGAGGAGAGTTTTATCTACCAAAAGAAGTCCTGGTGAAGCGGTCTTATGTGTAGACAGGCTTTACAACATGCTTGAAAATACCCTTAGGTAAGGCTCTGTCTGAATAAAACAAAAACAGGGGTAGGTATTTGGTTTAATCCCTGGAAGATTCCTGTGGATACATCCACTTGTGCCTGAGCCTCAAATTCCCTGTATGTTTAGGGAAATCGACCAGACTTTTTGAATCTTACAGGCTAAGTGACTGTCATCTTTACCTCTCTTCTGACTTGGCTTAATAAAGTCTAAGATACCTGACATGGCCAGTAATTATGCTGTAATACCACCATCCAGAGGAAAACATTAATATTTTAGTATTGTCCTCCCAAACTTTGTTCCTGTGTATTTGTATACATATACTAGTATACTGGTTTTGTTTATGAGGGTGTTTTTAAAGCAAAAAAATATAGTGGGTTTTTTTTAAAGATGAACAGTTCAGTGATGTTTAGTGTATTTAGAATTATGACAACCACCTCTGTTTCCAAAACATTTTTGTTACCCCAAAAGGAAATCCTGTACCCATTAAACAGTTACTCCTTCTTCTACCTCCTCCCACCTCCTCATACACCTGGCAACCACCAATGTGCATTCTGTCTAATGATTTACATATTCTGGATATTTCATATAAAAGTTAAGCTGGAAAAAAACACCACGCATAAACAGCCATAACCCAATATATAGGTCCTTTTCCAAATATGCGTATATGTTTATAATTGTGTATAATTTATTCTGAGAGAAATTAGCATTATATATTTAAACACAAACTTCTCTTTTTCTTTACTATATGGTGAACATTTTTCTGTTTTTCTACAAAGATAGATCTCTGCTACATCGTTTTTAATAGTGTCGAGGGTTCCAGGCTCTTAGTGTTTGACAGCTTGGTTATTTCTAACTTTTCCCTATTACAAATGAACACCACCACAACAACATTTAATTAATTAAACCCTTAATCCTTTTATGAGGATAAATGTGTTATCCTTTTTCATTACAGATATTTTTACTGATGCTCCGGGCCCTGCAGCTCCCAACCCGACTGGTATTGTCTCTACAGCCAGTTCCTCTGAAGTTATCAGTAGCCAAGGTGAGGTTCTTAGGGCTTCCAGAGAAAAGGGTAGTGGTCAGGGAGAAGTGAGAAATTATCATACTTTTTAAAAATTGATCATTAGACTGTTTTTAAGGGTCAGATTACAGGGTCTCTCTCTTATCATTAGCAAAAAAGAACATTTCTATTTTGTTTAAGGGAAAGAAGCCTAAAAAGAGTTCCACAGAGAGTCCTGAGGGCTCCTCAGAAACTTCCAGCCAAGTCTCAGAAAATCAAACCAAACCAAAGACCAGCAGAGGAACCAGAAAAGAGGGCACTTCTTCTAAAGGCACCAACGGTCCAAGTGCCAAAGGGAAGAGGAGTAAGGCAGCTGCCGTGGGGAAGAAGCGGAGGGAACCCTCCTCCAGTGAGGAAGAAGAGGGCGAGGCGGGAGAGCAGGAAGAGACCCAGAGACAGCTGCGTGGCCGGGAGCGACGGGTGGCCTCCAGGGTGTCTTATAAAGAGGAGAGTGGGAGTGATGAGACCAACAGTGGCTCTGACTTCGAGCTCTCCAGTGGGGAAGCCCATCATCCGTCTGATGAGGATTCTGAGCCTGGTCCTTCGAGACAGAGGAGGGCCCCGGCCCCTCAGAGGACAAAGGCAGAGTCCAAAAGTGACTCCAGGACCCGACGTGGAAGCCACCCTAAGCATCCCGACTCTCCAGCAGCATCCACAAGCTCTTCAAGCAGTAAAAATATGAGAGGCAAGAAAATGTCCAGTGATGGTGAGAGGACAGAAAAAGGGAAAACAGCTGGTGTGGACCAGTGGCTAGAGGTGTTCTGTGAGCGGGAGGAAAAATGGGTGTGTGTGGACTGTGTGCATGGTGTGGTGGGCCAGGCCGTGACATGTTACAGATACGCCACCAAGCCCATGGCCTACGTTGTGGGCTTTGACAATGATGGTTGGGTCCGGGATGTCACCCAGAGGTATGACCCAGCCTGGATGACAGCGACCCGCAAGTGCCGGGTTGATGCCAAGTGGTGGGCTGAAACCCTGAGACCCTACCAGAGCCCATTGGTGGAAAGGGAAAAGAAAGAAGACTTGGAGGTAAGGCCTCGGCTGCCACCGGCTCAAAGACCCAGTCGAGTTATTAAAATTATCCCCATATTTGAGCAGTTTTGTATGCCCAGCCCTGTGTTGGGTATTTTTAGTGTATCTCATTAGTTATCACAACTCTATAAAGCTGGGACTATTATTGCCTTTTTTTTTTTTTACCAGTTAAGAACTCAAGATTAAAGCAGTTGACTGACTGACTTGGTATTTGAACCCAGGTCTCTCTGGCTTTGAAGCCTGTATACTTGTAGTTATTGCCCAGTTATAAATTTGCAGCTTTAAAATAATGTATGCAAGGCATACTGAGGGAAAGAAGAAAAAACTCATTAATATGATTACCGCCCTCCTTTTCAGGTCGTACCCACTCACAGAACACATACACAACCCTCCATGGATGTAGAACACTCATATCCTGGGAAGGAAGGGACTCAGGATGAGGAATACCTTCAGTCTGTTGAGAAGGCACACTGGGCAGCTGACTTCTAGACTGAAAGGACCTGGTGTGTCGCTTGGTTTAAGGAGGAGGCCTGAGCTGCTATGCACAGCAGTGATGGCATTGGGTGGAGCTCAGCATTTCCACATGGGAACATGCCCAGATTTGCTGGCAAATTGTTCCCAGTTCCTCAGATGGGCAAAGCATGGGCTTATTTAGCATTCTCTGTATCATACAGTTCATCCTGCATTGAGTTTCCTCTGGGGGTGTTCTGGTTCATTTTACTGAAAAATGTCAGAGTAGATGGGAATTGTGCAGATGGCATTGTGACTAATCTAATAAAGTCTGTACTAGAAGCTAACCATGTTTAGGGTCTATCCTACTCCTGGCTACTCCAATATTGCCCGTCCTCACTAATATATTTGGGGGTTTTCAAGAACTGCTAAGGACGGCCTATGAGACCTTGGTGAATCAGATGTGAATTACAGCAGTGGAATTGTCCACTGAAAAATCAAATTCCTGCCCTAGCCAGTTTGGCTCAGTGGATAGAGCGTCAGCCTGTGGACTGAAGGGTCCCAAGTTCGATTCGGTCAAGGGCACATGCCTGAGTTGCAGGCTCAATCCCCATTGGGGGCGGGGGGCGTGCAGGAAGTAGCCAATCAATGATTCTCTGTCATCATTGATGTTTCTGTCTCTCTCTCCCTCTTCCTTCCTCTCTGAATCAATAAAAATATTTTTTTTTAAAAGAAAAATCAGATTCCTTATAGAAGTGCTAAAAGAACATGTATTAATTACAGTAGACTAAAAAAAGTCACAAGGTGTGAACAACTCGTTTTGATTTCCTGTGAGCAGTCAAGGAAACCCACGTTGCAGAATAGTGATGCCACTTTGAGATAAGACCTCTTTCCTGAAGAAAACTGTTTTTGTTCCCTTGGAACTTCTTAGTAGAGTGGACGCTCATCTGCTAGGCTGGCTGAGGAATAGGTTAGATGACTTTTCAAAGTTGCTATAAGTCACAGAATTACTTGATTCTTCATAGCTTTTGATTTATCTGAAACCTACTTAACAGCTACAAAAGCAATGTTACAATCATTGGTGCTCATGAAGCCTCTGCTTCACTGTGAACAAGCTGGTCTGAGGATTGCCCATAGCAAACCTACTTCCTCTTCTAAACCACATGCTCAACATTATCTCTCTGGCCTTTGCAGTTTCAGGCAAAGCACCTGGACCAGCCTTTGCCCACTGTCATTGGCACATACAAGAACCACCCTCTTTATGCCCTGAAGAGGCATCTCCTGAAATACGAGGCCATCTATCCCGAGACAGCTGCCATCATTGGCTATTGTCGTGGAGAAGCTATCTACTCCAGGTGCGTCTGGTGGCCTGGTGGGCTTCCTGATGGCCTGGGCTTATCAGCCTTCTGGGGCAGGGGCTGATAGTTTCATTTACCTCATTTGTCAGGTAGGAGGAGCTTTATAGTGTGTGCATGTGCTGTTGTGTGTGGGGATGGGTAGAAGAGATTAAAGATTAGAAATTAAAACAACATGGAATAAAAGATAAACAGGAGAGGAAAAGTTACAGGGGGGAAATAAAAACAGGACAAGTAAGGTTTATATAGGGCAATATAAACACACCCCTCAAATATAAATTAAAAATATACAAAAGGAAATAAAGGATTTGGTAAGAAAGTTAAAGTATCACATAGTTTAATGTGCACAGAGCTTCTGTTTGGGAAGATGAAAGTTCTGAAGATGGATAGTGGTGACGGTTGCACAACAGTCCAGATGTACTTAATGCTACTGAACCATACACTTTAAAAATGGCGAAAATAGTAAATTTTTATGTTATGTATATTTTGCCATAGTAGAAATACCGAAGAAGAAGTAAAGGGAGAAAGAGTAGGAAATGAATGTGATATATATACAAAATTAAAACAAAAATATTTAATAATATAAATGTAAGGTTAAGAGAAAATGAAAGTAGAAGCAGAGCTTTTAAGAAATAACAGTAGAAAGAACACAAAAGAAATATTTTTTTAAAATATTAAAATACAAGACCAAAAAATAGATGTCCTTAAGAAATGTGAAAAAGAGAGAGAAAAGAAGGAAATACAGGGAAACTCTATGAGTAGATGGTTTGAGTCCTCTGACGGGACCACTTCCTGCATGTCAGCCGTTCAGGGAATCACCTGGACCCTCAGTTCAGGGTCTGTGTTGGAAAGTAGAATTGCAAGGCTAGGGGTTAACTGTTAGCTCTGGAAGGAGAGTGAAGCCAGAGGATCTCTCCCCATAATCACAGGCCGCCAGGAATTATTTGACCGTTCCATGTGCATGAGTCTTAATTCCTTGGTAATTTATTAACACAATTATAATTTCCATGTAGTCTTTTGGGTTCACCACCCCTTCCCTGGACACTTGTCCCTCTGGTATTGGCAGCAGACCAGACCCTGGGCAGGCATGTGCTCAGTGGTAAGGAAATGTGCCTTCAGTGCTGTGACTTTTGCCTCTCCCCCTACGGGCTGCAAAGGGACTCTCATAGTGGGAGGAGAGGTGAGGGTACCGCACGAAGCCTAAGACAAGTGTAATTCTATTTAGGTTAGGGTTTGTAAGTGAACTCACACACCCACTAAGATAAGAAGTCCAAGTTTACTGTTTTCCTGAGGCAAGTCCCCCGGCTTTGTCAGGAGCAGAGCCTGAGAAGAGTATCACAGGCTGTGCTCTTCCTCCTGGGAGGTCATATGAGCACCTGGGTCCTCAGGGTTCCACTCCATACTGAGCTCCATCAAGGTGTGAACTGAGTTTCTCCTTTGTCTCCCTCTGTTGGCTCCAGCAGGGATTGCGTGCAAACCCTGCACTCCAGGGACACGTGGCTGAAACAAGGAAGAGTGGTGAGGCTTGGAGAAGTGCCCTACAAGGTAACCGGAGCTGGGTGGGCGCCCCCCAGACGAGGGCATCGGGAGGCTCAGCACCAAGACTGAGTGGAACAGCTGAGGGCAGAGGAGTGAAGACTGAGGGCCGTTGAGTATATGCCCAGGATAGAAACCCAGGTCTGCTTTCCTAGCTTGAGAAGGAGAAAAGCATTTAAATGATGTCTAACTAATGAGGAATTTGTAAGAGCTGGATCTTCCAGAGCATGCAAGAAATCTATGCCAAAAAGCAGCCCTCAGACTCCTGGTGTGTGTGTGCTCAAAGGCCGTGTAGATTAGAACTGTTACTGAGTTGCTTTAAGAGGCCAAAGCCCTGCTTTATGTAGATGCATTCACCAGTCATCAGCGTCCTTCCGCTTGGCAACTTACCATGTATTTTGTATGTATATGTTCTCTACTGAGTCTCCACAACCATGGGAGTTGGCATTATGGTGCCCATTTTACATATGAGAAAATGGAAACAGGAGAAATTACTTGTCCAAGGCCTTACAGTTAGGAAAATGTGTGCCCAGACAACAATCCCAGGCCCTGCCTCCACTCCGGTGTCATTTCTCTCCCTCTGTGCTGCTCAGTCAGGCCAGCTGCCCACGAGAAAAGGGATTCAGTACAGTACCACTCAGGCTTGTCACAGGACACATAGCCGGTCACAGAGACACATTTGTTCTTTTTTTGTTAGATCCCAAAGGAGCCCTTTGGGTTGTGAGATTAGGGAGCTTGGCAGGGAGTGGAGACACCTCAGTTTGGTGGGAAGGGGCTGCAGGCTTTGGGAGCGGGTCACTGCCTAAAGCAGACTTGAGTACATTATGCTGCCTGCGTGGACCGCTCAGGTTTCCATGTCCAATAACCAGTCTCTTCATTCCAAAATGGCACTGTCTGATTGAAATATAAGGGGAGCCACAAATTTAAAATTTTTAGTTGCCATACTTAAATATTTTAATATTTATAATAACAAAAGTGTAATATGCGAGTTAGACCAGATAGCTGAAGGACCTTCCAGACATCATTCCAGACATCCTTCCGGATGAAGCCACAGTGGTGGGGGCCAAGACAGAGGTGATTAGGGGTGATCCAGGTAGGCAGGTGAGCAGTTAGAGATGATCAGTCAGGCTGGCGAGTGGTTAGGGACGATCAGGCAGGCAGGGGAGCAGTTAGGGGCAATCAGGCAGGCAGGCTGAGGCAATTAGGGGCGATCAGGCAAGCTGGTGAGTGGTTAGGGGTGATCAGGCAGGCAGGTGAGTGGTTAATGGCGATCAGGCAGGCAGGCAATCGGGCGATTAGACAGGCAGGCAGAGGGGTTGGGGCGATCAGGCAGGCAGGCAATCAGTTAGGGGCCATCAGGCAGTCAGGTGATCAGTTAGGGACGATCAAGCAGGCAGGCAGAGGGATTAGGGGCGATTAGACATGCAGGCAGAGTGGTTAGGAGCGATCAGGCAGGCAGAGGGGCTAGGGGTGATCAGATAGGCAGGCAGAGTGGTTAGGGGCGATCAGGCAGGCAGGCCAGGGGTTAGGGGTGGTCAGGCAGGCAGGAAGGCCAGTGGTGAGGAGCCAGTCGTCCTGGATAGTGAGAGGCTGCAGGCCAGGCTGAAGGACCACCCCCTTCCATACACGAATTTCATGCACCGGGCCTCTATAATTTAAATATTTTCAAATATATTTGAAATCTTGTCATTTCAACATGTAATGTTTTGGAATGTTAACGAGATATTTTACATTTTTTTCTTAGTAAGGCTTTGAAATCTAATATTTTACTTTTAATACATCTCAATTGTGACTATTACATTTCAAATGTTCGTGGCTATTATAAAGCACAGTTCTAGCATAATCCCAAATCTCAAGTCCTCCTTGTGTTCTGAAACCTACTGTCCAGCTCCCTATCTTCTCTTGCTTGGATCACAGCCACCTTAAGCTCTTCAGTTCACTGTCAATTTCACCACCATGGGATCTTTCTGAAACATAGAGTTGCATGTGACACCTCCTGGGTAGCCCACCCTCACCCTCCTCAGAGTCATGTCTTCCATGTAGCACAAAACCTGTGCTACTCTAATACTCGCCTCGTCTCCAGCCACATTTCCTCCTGCATGCCAGACGACTTCAGCAGTCCCAGATACTCTTGGTTCCAAATGCCTTTCTCAGTCCTTTTCACTTGACCAGTCCCTTTTGCCCTTTCAGACTCAGTGAGATGGGGCCTGTTCTGAACAACTTGTCTTTCCCTCTCCCTCCTCAGGGCTGGGCAAGGGGCCCTGCCTGTGGGCCCCATCCTGCCTTATATTCTTCAAACTGAATTGTCTTCTCTCTCCCCACAGGAGCCTGTGCTCCTTAAGAACAGACTGCCCTTTCTCTGCCCCTAACGACTGGTGTCACGGTGTCTGTAATAGATGCTCATTGGATCTTTACTTAATTAACAGCATGGGATGAACGGCTCCCTGAGAAAGGGACTGTCGACCCCACCCGGTGACGGAGGTGGTGTGCCCAGTTACCCTGGCAGAAATGGCCACTGGAACAGCTGTCTGCAGTCCACAGCTCGCAGATCACATCCAGCCTAGGTCCTGTCTCAGAATGGCTTTTACTTGTTTTATGGATTGTAAAAAGAGAGGCTAAAGAATGTGCAACAGAGGCTGACAGGAAAGGTTTGCCAACCCCTACACTAGAAGCAGCCCAGGCCCAATAGCCAATCCTTAGCCCACGCCTGTGCGGCTCCTCCTTGTAGAAGTTACACATCTTTTCCTCCTTGCCAGTTCTCGGCTCCTTTTACCCCTTCACTTCCCAATGAAAATTTTGGTATTGACCATTAGACATCAGTAATGTAGTGTGCTCGGGGTCCCAAACTATCAGTGCCTTCCAGGGCACAAGGCACAGTTAGTTTTCTAGGGTTAAATCCTGGCCCTGTCACTCACCCGGCCATGGGATCTTAAGTGCCATCATTTTTGAGTTCCAGTTTCCATTTCAGTGATGAAAGTATTGAACAAAGTATAGTAATCCTCCCCTTATCTGTGGTCTTGTCTGCTGTTTGTTACCCGCAATCAGTCATAGTCTGAAAATATTAAATACACACAGAGCACTGAGAACAGTGCCTGATACAGTGAGCACTCTGTAGATGTTAGCTGGTGGTACTCGTGCTAATAGTACTAAAGGGGATAAAAAGCACACCCATCCCAGGTTTGTTTGTTGTTTGTTTTGTAACAGGTGCAAAGCACTGAACACAGAGCCTGCTATACAGTAAGCACTCAGGAAGTAGTAGCCTTTGTTGTAAACTGGCTGTTCCCTCTGGTGTAGATGGTGAAAGGCTATTCCAACCGGGCCCGGAGAGCCCGCCTTGCTGAGCCCCAGCTGCAGGACCAAAATGACCTGGGCCTATTTGGCAAGTGGCAGACAGAGGAGTACCAGCCACCTGTGGCTGTGGACGGCAAGGTAAGGGCAGCGCTCAGTGGGTCAGGACTAGGCCGCTCCATGCTGCAGCTGGCCAGACCTGGCATGCCAACCTCTGCAGGTCCCCCGGAATGAATTTGGGAACGTGTACCTCTTCCTGCCCAGCATGATGCCTGTTGGCTGTGTTCAACTGAATCTGCCCAACCTGAACCGCGTGGCTCGTAAGCTGGGCATCGACTGTGTCCCGGCCGTCACCGGCTTTGATTTCCATAAAGGATACTCCCATCCCATGTGCGTGAGGCGCCTTCCATAGAAACTGGAAGGAGGGGGAAGGTCACGGTGAAGTGGGTGGGAAATTGGTGTGGGATTGGGGGAGGGAGAGGCCCAGTGGCTCTGATTTTCCAGGGTTTACTCTGAATTTGCAAATTCAGCCTTAACACTTTACCTTTTACTTTGACACTTTGACTCTTACTCTGACTTCCACAGAGGCAGTGAAACCAGCCCCTAATAATGTTAGATTAAAACACTTTTTCTGAGGGTAGTCACAGGTAACCTAATGGGGTCAGCGTCCTTTCTGGTTGGTGACCTCTGTCCTGCATGCAGTGGGGGTGGGCAGGGGCTCTCATCCCAGCTCTTAGGCAGGGCCCGGAAGAAGCAGTGCCAGGTCCACAGGCTTTCCTTCTGCATGAGTGGCATCTGTTAGCAGCTATGGCCAGGACTGTGGGCCAGCTGACTCAGGAAACCCTTCAGAGCTAGGAGCGGCCTGCTGTCCTCCACAGCGGGAGGGGGAAAGGCGAGAGCAGGAATCAGGCTCGAGAAAGTCCACCCCTGTTGCATCCCCACAGAACTGACGGGTACATAGTCTGCGAGGAATACAAAGATGTGCTCCTGGCCGCCTGGGAAAATGAGCAGGCACTCATTGAAAAGAAGGAGAAGGAGGTGAGCAGTCTGGCAAGGGCTGGCCTGGGTGGGGCTTGGAGTGGGAAAGCAAGCACACTGGACGGGCAGTGCCTCACCTGCAGCAATTATAAAGGAGAGTCTCTGCACTCCGAAGCTCTTTCTGGCTCCAACTCCGTGAGGGCCCCCTAGGGAGCCAGCACTGGAAAAAACAATCCTTCCTACACCTCAAAATCCACTATCTGCCCGGATCCCAGCGCCAGGGACAACTTCCCTGCTGCCGACACCTGCCTCTGTTGAAAGGAATTGTCTATGGGCCAGGTGTGGAGAACCTCCTCCCCTAAACATTTTGGAGTCGGAAATCATTTAAAAAAGGGCTTTTGTTTTTTATGCCTATCATGCCTTTTATAAATCATTCCAATTTTAAAACTGATACTTGATATAAACTTTTTTTAACCTAAAGTGTGTGCGTGTGTGTGTGTGTGTGTGTGTGTGTGTGTGTGTGTTCACAGGTTCGATCTTATTTTTCCTGAAAATAGCAGTACTCAACATTTTTTGCTTACCTGTGTCATTTTTTTCCTGCAGAAAAGGGAGAAGCGGGCGCTGGAGAACTGGAAGCTGCTGGCTAAGGGACTGCTCATCAGGGAGAGGTTGCAGCTTCGCTATGGGGCCAAGGTCAGTGGGGGGCCTGTGGAGAGGACAGGCCTGGGTGGGAAGGGCTCAGAAATCACTGGCCCACACTCTGCCTGGACGTCACACATAGGTCAGCTTTATGTTGTGATGCCACAGACGGTCCCCTTACCTTGTTGGGGAGGTGTCCTTGGAGTCAGCCCCAGCTGCCTCTCGTGGCCCCCAGCCCTGCCCAACATGCCCTTTTCTGCTCCTCTCTGCACAAGTGAGGAGGTGCGTGCTCTGGTGCTAAGCCCTTTCAAAAAGAGACGAGGTCTGTACTTCTGTGTGTGACCCACCATCCAGCCTGGCGGTGCTCTCAGTGCCTCGATCATCCCTCGGGACAGGAATACTCTCACAGCACCTGCCATGTGGCAGGCCAGCCTGTGGACACAGGTGCGGACTTGACATGCAGGCCCCAGACACAGTCACGTGATGTGATCAGTACTGGGTCAGAGACAGCAGAAAAATGCTCTGGGAGCAGCTGTGACCACACATCTCCTACCCCACATGCTGCCTATTTCCCTTTAAAAAATACTCTCGTCCTGCTCCTCCCTCAAATCCCGTCAGTGACCCCTTCACCAAGCTTCATGCCTAACTGGTTCCTTCCCAACACTGTGCTCTCAACCTCTGCATCCAGCCCCCCACCCCAGCCGGCCCAGGCTCAAGGAGTACTCCTCAGAGCACTGGGCACTTTTGTTCAGAAGTGAAGTAGTATATGCAAAGCCCCAGTCAGTAGCGATCTCCTAGATTTGATTGTACTCTCCCTGAGGGTAGTTTCCTGCCCAGACATCTTGGTGTTCCCTCAGCTTGTAAATTACCGGTACCTGCTTGGATGAGTCCCCAGTCTGAGGAAGACACAGAAAGACAGGCCTTAGTTCTCCCCCAGCCCCAAGCAGTACCCTTGTCCTCCAAGCCACACAGTTCAGGCAGCCTGTTGCTAGGAGCTTGACTGCCTCGTGAGGGTGTTTCCTCCTGTCTATCTGCTCACTGACCCGTGGCCTCTGTTTCCCTGCACTGCCCCCACCTCTCCAGAGTGGAGCAGAAACTCCCCACCCAGCAGGAGGTGGGCTCTCTTCTGATGAAGAGGAAGGAACCAGCTCGCAAGCAGAAGCGGCCAAGATCCTGGCTGCTTCCTGGCCCCAGAACCGAGAAGCTAAAGAAGAGCAGAAGCCAAGGTGCCCTAAGAAAACCAAAAGGGAAAAGGCGGAGGCTTCCCACCTGTTCCCATTTGAGAGGTTATGATGTGAGTGGCCATGGTGTCCACGGAGAAGGCAAACAAGCAGCGTGGATTGCAGACAAGGATGCGGGGACAGCAGGGTCAAGTTGAGGTGGTGCTGCAGGTCTAGTGTGGCCCAGTCCTTGTCAGAGCCACTCAACATAGGGCCTTCAAAGTCTCTTGCTCCCACACCCTATGTCTTGAGCTGTGGAACCCTTTCCTGGAGACCCTCCTGCACTTAGACCTGCTGCTTCCCCTTTTGAAACATGAGTTTGTTTTTTATAGAAACGCCTGGGAAATTTTCAGATAATTGTACATTAGTAATGCACCAGTCCCTTCCAGATTCTTCATCTGTCAGACACTGGTGCTCTCGCCTCTCTTGCAGACTTCAGACCCTCTCTCTGCAGGCCACTCATTTTCCCTCAATCAGGTTTACTAATACTGCCTAATGCTGCCTCTTTAATATGGGGAGCACAGGTCAACTCGGATTCTGGTATTTTGGGGATCCACTTTTCAAAGTTACATTTCATGATGGCAGAAGACTAGAGTCATTACTGGATAAATTTTATAAAGCTCTATGGCACTGTAGGTATTTAGAATAACATTTTGAGAAAAAAATAAAGCATTTATCTAAAAAGACTCAGCTCTACATTTTCTTTCAGATTTTGCATCAGCTAAGAAAACATGCTGACCGTGATTTGTACACGTCAAGACTAAATTAAAGTTCTGTTTTCCTGTAGGCTGGGGGCTTACAAGCACACATGGATTTTTCTTTTCTATGTTTAAGCAAGGAGGTATTATTTAATCTTTGACAGGAGCCAATAAAAATTTGAATCAGTTTTATCCAAGGGAAACAAACAAAACACTTGAGGTATGACTCATGCATAAAAGCCTGGCAGGAAGACTTGCTGAGAAACAAACGGTTGCCATGGAAACTGCAGAGCCTCACTCTTCCTGCACCAGAGCCCTTCCTCTTCTAGAGGTAAGCGACTTGCTTTCTGGGAATTAAGTCGAGCATCATCGTGTCTCCCCACACCAACCTGTTTTTCAGGCAGAGGTCAGCTCTTAGGAGGCACTATGGAAATCAAAACTTTTCAGTTTTTAGAAATACAAGAATAAGTTTTGGAAAGTTATCACTCACCTGCTTCAAATCTTGTAATACATAAAAAGAACTATTCAAATTGCTAACTTCAGAGTGGATAATTACAGCAGTCCTTTGCTTCAGAACAGGAGGCAAAAAGAATAAAAAGTTAATGTCACGTGTGTTTGGCATTTCATGGGCTTTCTGCCAGTCCTCACAGCAAACTTGTGGGGGTTACAGTGGCATTGTTCCCATTTTATAGATGAGGGGACTGAGGCTCAAAGTATTGATTTTTCCAACATAACATAGCCAATCAGTGGCAGACTTGAGACTGGAATTCAGGTCTGTGCCAACCCAAAACCAATGATGCCTTTTGAACTGTGGCTCCATCCTGCCCTCTGGCACAATTCTGAAGATGGGTGAAGTGTGAATCCTTCACTTTAAATGCATCCAAAACAAAGTAGGCTTTGATATTTAAGAATTCTAAGTGCTAGAAATATTGAGTTGCCCTTTAAAAATACATATATTTTAACCACCAAAAACAACTTAGAACTGAGTCTAAAAATCATATGGTTTGTACTGAATTTTACGGCTGAATTCAAGATAGAAATTTCAGAAAGAATACAGAAACAACAAAAGGAATAATGGCAATGTCCTTTAAAAGATACTTAGATATTTATTTGATTTTTCTATCAAAAATACAAAGAATACAAATTTCATGATTTTTCCAAGGCATCAAATATCTCTTAACATTATTTTGCTCCTAAAGAACACTTGAAATTGGCAGTAATTGAAAATCTTATATTTGGAAAAATTACAGACCAGTCCCAAAGATTTTGTACATACAGTAAAACCTCGATAAAAGGAACTAATATGGGCAAGGGTATGTCCATTAAAGCTGAAAGCCCATTATATAATAAAATAGGTTTTCCGAATGCATATATTAAAAAATTGACAAATTAGTTTACTTGTTTTCACTTATGTAGACGTTTAAAATTAAGTATATATGAAAAGTTTAATTTCACAGAAAAGTTTTCTACATGTATTACTGTAATTTTAAATTTATATTGAATAGATCTAGTAAATGTGTACATTCACCAGTCTCCACGAGTAAACAGATGCACACAGATGGGATGTGCCTTAGTGTATGTCGGAACTTAGGCGTTAAAACTGCTGCAGAAAGTGACACCATGCAACAATAATTACTGCTCCATGCGGTGTGATCACGTGTTCATCATTCACCATTGTTTACAAGCAGTGATTCTTGGATTTAAATATGTAGATTATAGTTGTAGATATGTAATATTTATGTCATCAAAATTGTGTTTTTTCCAGCATATGGCCTAGTCACTAAAATTTATTAAAAATACTAGTAACGGTGAATAACAAAAAAATAACCTAGTAATTACAAGCAACTCTTGGTGAAAAGCATTTTTTAATTGAGAGGATGTTAATTTCCACATAACATACAGACCGGAAATTTTGTCTGTTAAATACTAAATCCATTAAATCGAGGGTTTTACTGTACTGTATTTTCCAAAAGCATCCTTTGAGGATTTAGAGGAGTGGAGGGCCTTTTTTCTGCCAAGAGCCATTTGAATATTTATAACATCATTTGCAGGCCACACAAAATTATCAACTTAAAAATTATCCTGCTGTATTTGGTCAAACATTTAACTAATTCACCCCTAATGCCGTGGCAGGGCCAGACCAAATGATTTCTCAGACCTTATATGGCCCATAGGCCGGACATTCTCCACCCCTGATTTAGAGATTCAATGAAACAGCAGTGAACTATTTCAGTCCTTAAACCCAGATAAATCATCTGTGGGGCCAGCTGTCCCTACCATGAAGAATCTGTAACATATACCCGGACTATAGGAGAGATTATTAGATCACTATTTTCAGAAGTTCTGACCCCTATTCAACTAGCAGATACTTATTTGCTAAAGCGACCACTCCCAGCAAGGTAGAACAATTTCCAAGTAGTAAAAGATAAAGTCAAAGCTATACAAAGAATTTTTTAGGACATCAAGGTTACATTCTTTATCTTTCAAAGGGTGTGAGAGTAGTTGGGAAATATGTTGATTAAGTGTGGGTAGATGTTACTTTGGAGGAGCAATGTGGCAGACATGTAACAGAAAACCAATAGCAGAAGCAGCCATGGGGGCCCAGCCGCTGTATCAGACGTCCTCCATGATGAAAGGAATGAGGCCGCAACAGCACTCACACCTACAGCAAGCCCGAGGCCTCCAAGCTGGATTTTGAGGGGGTCACTGTGAAGGAGCGCAGGATAATAAAGCTTGCAACCTTTTCCTTTAATAGTTGACTAAAAACTCGTAACTTCAAGTACACGGTAGTGTCTGATGCCATAGGATAAAAGGAAACGCTTTACCTTGTAGATATTCCCCAACGCCTCCCAGAGAGAAGACAAATGATTTTGTAACACTTATTTCAAAAGCATCTTAAAGCTTCCCAGTGACCCAGAATACTGACAACGGTAACTTGTTTTTTTAACCAGGTAAGTCACAGCCCCATTTAACACCTTTCTGTGCTCTGAATTAACCTCAACTAAACAGGTTAAAGGGTGTCTTTTTCTGTAACAGTCAGAAATGTTAGTCATTCAGGAGGTTTTCTATTTTGCTTTTCAAATCTTATTTTGAACAACTCCC